AATTGTAAATTTCAGGACCCCCGAGCTATCCGTTCTCCCTTGGGGAGGGGGTAAAGTTTACTATAGTTTATATAGGGAAATAACACTTTTGGGTATATATTTTATCCATTTTCAGCAGAAAATTACTCAAACTTAGTCAGAATCATCTTTGGTGAATGAGAGTATTACTTTGGAAAATTGGGATTCCTGCCCCATTCCCAGGGGCTAGGGCAGGGCCCCAAAGGGAACATTTACCAATATTTTCAAATTCTTATCCTTTGATGACATGACAAGTATTGTATTTCACTTAGTTTACATGCTGATTTCCACATCACATCTAAACAACAAAATAAAGCTACCAGTACCTATGATATAACTCAGGTGACCGCTTCCTGGGATTTTGGGTTGTTATTGTGAATAATTTTGTGTGTATCCATTTCTTTGTCTGTACAGAATTCCATTCACCACATAATATCATAGATGTATTATTAAAAACTTGTAGGGTTGACAAAAAGTTTTCAAAGAAAAGTGGGGAATCTTGATTTGGAACATATAAACATGCAAGTGTTAATCTATTTTGGTTTATTAGCTCACCTGGCCCGAAGGGCCCAGTGAGCTTATGGCAAGCTTATGGCATGGTGCGGCGTCCGTCGTCCGTCCGGCGTCAACTTTTTACTTTAAACAACTTCTACTCAGTAACCAAAAGGCCTAGGGTGATGATAAATGATGATAAATTTCAAGAAAATGTGAAATTAATACCAAGTGAGCGATTCAGGCCCATTGGGCCTCTTGTTTTTCTCCTACTATACAAGTGAAGGGATTTAAACCAAATGCAGTCTGAAGCATGCTAAGGGACAAAAGAATCAATTTTGTTTAAACTGAGGTGTGTGGACCTCCTTCTTTGGGGCAGATGAGTGGGACCCATTAGGGGAAATAGAGGAAAACATTAAAGATCCTTCTCCTTTTGTACCGTTGAAGGGATTTTAACCAAACTTGTTCTAGAGAATCTTTGGCCGAAGGGAATTGAATATTTATAAATGGAAGATGTGTCTGAAGCATGCTTAGGGGGAAAAAACTCTATTTGTTCAATTTGTATAAAATGGTGCATGTAAGGCCCAATAGGGGGAATAGAGGGAAATTGGGACATAACATGAAAACTCATTTTCTTGGTGTCTTTCCCACCAAAACAGATTTATATGTAGTTCTTCTTGCAAATTTGTTTCTTGGACTCTTTTGATAAACCTGTTTGGTACTCAGCAGGTTTTAAATTAAAAAATAAAATACCAGGTGAGCTATTAAGGCCCCTGGGCCTCTTGTATTGAATCACATCAGGGATAAAACTGTCTGATTGAATTACATCAGGGATAGAACTGTCCTATTGAATCACATCAGGGATAGAACTGTCTGATTGAATCACATCAGTGTGATTGAACTGTCTGATTGAATCACATCAGCGATAGAACTGTCTGATTGAATCACATCAGGGATAGAACTGTCTGATTGAATCACATCGGGGATAAAACTGTCTGATTGAATCACATCAGTGATGGAACTGTCTGATTGAAACATCAGGGATGGAACTGTCTGATTGAATCACATCAGGGATAGAACTGTTTGATTGAATCACATCAGTGATGGAACTGTCTGATTGAATCACATCAGGGATATCACTGACTGATTGAATCACATCAGGGATAGAACTGTCTGATTGAAACATCAGGGATAGAACTGTCTGATTGAAACACATCAGGGATAGAACTGTCTGATTGAAACATCAGGGATAGAACTGTCTGATTGAAACACATCAATGATGGAACTGTCTGATTGAAACATCAGGGATGGAACTGTCTGATTGAATCACATCAGGGATAGAACTGTTTGATTGAATCACATCAGTGATGGAACTGTCTGATTGAATCACATCAGGGATATCACTGACTGATTGAATCACATCAGGGATGGAACTGTCTGATTGAAACATCAGGGATATTACTGACTGATTGAATCACATCAGGGATAGAACTGCCTAATTGCTATGTGTGCTTGGTTTTTCCTATGTCTAGCTTTGTAGTGAATAAGAAAGAAATAAGTTTGTTCTGATTTGTGTCAATGCATGAATTGAGACTACTCTTAAAATGATAACACTGAAAATGAAGCTTGCTTTTTCTTTGATGATCAGGATATCTCAACGTTATTGTTTATTTTTGTATTTTAAGGGAAATACGTGACCCACAGTTTCATCCCAAAAACCTAAGTAATAAAGCGGCAAAAGACCTGTATGAACGATTCCAGAAGGTAGAGCAGGATTACCGCCACCAATTCTCAGGTACCAGTAATGAATTGTTCTTACCATATTGACTGTTGGGATGTGGTGATTGATTATCATAAGCTCAAATACTTTAAATTAGAAAAGATAAATTGTATTGTTTTAAAATCTTATACAGTGGCCCCCACTTATTATTAGCTCACCTGGCACGAAGTGCCAAGTGAGCTTATGCCGTGGCGCGGCGTCCGTCGTCCGTCCGTCCGGCGTCAATATTTTACTTTAAACGACTTCTTCTTAATAACCGAAAGGCCTAGGGTGATGATATTTGGCCAGAAGCAAACTGGGATGAAGGGCTACCAAGTTTGTTCAAATAAATGACCTTCA